TTTCACCTTTCCTCTTTGCAACTATGGTTCTCAGCATTTTATTTTGGGTGCTTTTCTAAATTATTTAACGCAGGTGAAATGACTTGCTACTGAAGTTTTGTGAGGAGAAGCAATTCTTTCCTCAAAGTAAACCGCAAGCATCTGTGATGAGCAAAATGCAAGAGGAAAAATCATCTCTTTACAGGTGACTGGTCTAAAGACACAGATGTAGCTCCTTGATCTATTTTATATCATGAAAAAAACTGGTTTAATAAGCAATCAGCCCCTTATTTTGCCCTCATCTGCGTTTTCTTCTTATACACATGCTTTCTCATCTGTATCAGTCCCGTGGAGCTTGCTGTACATTGGATTGCCAAATAATTACATTTAATAATAAGCTGTAATTCTTGTTAGTTTTCTTTCTTGTAATGTATAGCCTGAATTACAGTGGCACTGGCAAGTGAAGGAGCAATGCACTGCAGACTAGATGTGGGAACACAGAACTATGAGACAAGATACCTGGCAGCAAGGACAAGAACTACTTAAGCCACTTTTGCTATCCTAGAAAATATCCCCTGTCTCTACCCAGATGGGATATGAAGTATGATCCACCTCAACAGTATCTGTTCTCCCTGTGACACATTTATGCCAAAAAAACCCATCATCATTGGTAAGCATTGTGTGAATTTGACTCTCCACCTCAAGTAAACAGCACAATAGAGAGATAGCTCTTAAATGTCTCTATTTCCTCTGTCTTTAACTTCTCTGTGATTCACTCTTCTCCCTTTTTCTCCAGGATTCTTCCAAACACACTTCACTTCAGAAATTGCTATGCAAGTTGTGTTCCTACATTAGTGAGGGTTTTTTAAAGTTGTACTCATGAGGAATAGTTGCATCCTCAGCTAAACAAGAGGTTAAAACCAGAAGTTACTGAAATATGAATCTACATATAGTATATTTTTGACTTTAAATACCCTGCATAATCCTTGCCTCAACAGTTGTACTGGTGTAGAGTTTATTGTTAAAAACATCCAAAAGTGATACTTTTTCAACTGTTTCTGATGTTCAGTTCATAGCTGTAAGGATTAGCCTTTTCCCAAAATACCAAATTTTCTCATAGGCCTTGAAATGAACAATACTGGAAAGCCTTTACAGACTGATTTTAATGGAAAACTGCAAGATCTTTCCCTTTTTTCTTTCCTCAACCTTCAGAATCCAGCTCTACTCCTCCTGAAAGCAGCTCCCCTCTATCATTTTCTCTGCTCCATTTTCAATGTTTAAAAGGATGCATAGAAGGACACTTGACTCTGTCTTCTACTGAGAATAATTCAGCTCATTACAGGATTTTTAAAAAGGCTTAAACTCATCTAAAATATGAATATGTGTCAATTATGGCAGTTGCACAGTACCAGTAGTGCAGAGTCAGAATTTCTGAATGGGAATGACTAAAGTGCCTTTGGTCTCCTTGACCTTCTGACTTGAGTGGCCAAGCTACTCATCAACCTCTATTCAAAAACAGGGATTAAATGACATTGCCACAGCAATTATGGTCTTTGGCTGCATTAGAATTTGCTACATATTTGTAACTAAGTATCTGCCAGAAAAAAAAGAAAAGGAAGAAAGCGGGAAGTTGATTGCTCTGATGGAGATGTGCCTCAGCCCTGCAAGGTCTACCAGCATGCCGAGGCTCTGGTAGCTTGCTCAGGAGCAGCATGGCCACACTCCCAGCTGGGTGGGAAGCTGAGGACACTGTCTCAAGCTGTCATCCTCTGCCAGGAGACCAACATCCTCAGACATATTTTGTATTTTGAGTGGATGCCTGTAAATCAGCATGTTTGGAATTCTTTAGAAGGTCAGCTGACCACCAATTTCCTGGATGTACATTTGGCTTGGAATAGTTCTCCTATCCTTGTAATTATTTTGGTTTTACATGCAATTACTTGTGCACTTCCTCCTTTTATATTGCTTACATATTTAACTTTAAAGCTATTCCTGGTAGCTCTTTTCTGGAGAATCAGGAATATTGAATCTTTTCAAAAGTCATCTTCCTCAACAGGTAGAGTTGGGTTATTCTGCAACATTAGCCTTAAAATTAAAAACAAAAAAAAGAAAGCCTTTGGGTAGTCTCTGTAGAAATCTTCCAAACAATTGCCAACTTTGAGCTATTTTAAGTGTGATTAAAAATCCTCCACTTCCTGATTACTTTCAGGCAGTTTTATGCAAACATTACAGAGTCAGGACTCTCCTGGGTCCCTGTCAGGAACAATGCCTTTAACATAAAATAAATAAACTATATTAGAGACACCCAGTAAATCTGCTTTAGTTCTCCCCAGTATCCTTTTGTACCTCAAAGATCTCAGTGGTCTATACTCTGAAGTTTGCAGGACATGCATTTCCATGCCCAAGATATGGAAAGTAGGAAGGTTCCTCTACAGAAGTCCATTGATGGGCTTTTAATGTGCCATCTCTGCTCCCAGCCTCTGGGTTTTTACATTCTGCTGTCAGGTTTGGGATACATTTTTGCTGATGCTTTTTGTTTTGGCATATACACCAGAGAAAATAAATTGGGTTTGCCTCTTCCTAAGCCACTGTGGGTGATATTTTTATTGCCAGTTTGGTGCACCCTAGCTTTGAGTTTCCACCTAATCAACTTTAAAAACAGTCTGACATTTTCTTCCCCTTTTTCCTTGTGATTTTGATTTGTCCAGTTTTCTAATATTTCTGTTGGTGACATCTGCAAAAAGTGCTTTTAATCATATCTGAGCAAGGGGTCTGATACAATACAAGCGTTCCTGGCAATACACACACACACATATATGTACAAGGAGTGCAGCAAGGAGGGGAAAAAAAGCACTAAATGGACATGAAAATGCTACTACAATTTTTGTGTGTGTGTGTTGTGTTGCCTTCAGACATACTTAGTGGTTTTCATTTGTATAATTATTTTCCTGTAAAGATTTTAGAAAACTTTAGGGGAATGAAACACAAATTCCCTAGCTACATCTTTTACCAGGCTTTAGTAAAAATTACAAATAAATCTATAACCTTTCCATCTTATTACCTGCCCTTCCTGACATTAATACATCTCAAAAGTAGAATTTATTTTTACAAATAATAATGTGAATTTACCATTCTATATCTGGGACTTTGAAACTCACACCATTGGATAACATAGAATCATAGAATAGCTTGTGTTAGAAGGGACATTTAAAGGACATCTAGTCAAGCCCCCCTGGGATAAGCAGGGACATATTCGATGATATCAGGGTTACATACAGTCCCATCCTGACTAAATTCAGGCAACTGTGCAGTGTGGCCAGCAGCTCCTCCTAAGTTTCCACAGCCCATTTCCACTGTCCTATTTACTGGCTAAGTCATCATTTGTTCTTAAAAAGGACACAATTACTCCAGAACATCTGAAAGCCACATTTTCAGCTGCAGCTCTGTTTTGCATTCTATTTACTGCTTCTACTTATTTCTGCATGGTACCATCTGGACTATATCTCCTTCCCACTTCCTCATGATTTGCGATTTCCCAAGTTCCTGCACATATTTTTTGCTCTTTATGAACAATCAGCAATTTTTTAGCTTCACAAATACAGCTCAGCATTCCTTCACTCTATTTTTAGCTCAGACTGGCTACTAGGTACTACAGCCTGCTAGTTTTGAGCCTGCTGGGGCAGCTGACTCCGTAGATCAGCCTGGCAGATGGCTCAATTCTTTTCCAAAAGCTCAGTGAGAATGGACCTAGCACTTCTAATCAGCCAGTTAGCAAGTCCTCGGACACAGCTGATTCTTGAGTTGCGTCTCCATATGCTGCCTGGAAGCTTCACTGTAGTCCACCCCAGTTCACACCGACCGAGAGAACACCCTCCATTCATTCCCAGTTGACTCCTCTTGGGTTTGTTTGGTTGTGCGATACTACGGTGATCACCTAGTCCAGCTCCTGAGTAATTGAGTGCTGACCAAGCTAAAACATATTGATAAGGTCGTTGTCCAAATGCTTCTCAAACACGGACAGCTTTGGGGCATTGACCACCTCCAGGAACGCCGTTCCCCTCGGCAAAGAAACAGCCCCCAGTGTCCAGTGTAAACTTAAAGAGCAGCTTTGAACCATTCCCACACGTCCTGTCGCTGAGCGAGAAGAGCTAAACCCCTCCCTCTCCTCAGGAAGGTGTAAAAAGCAACGAGGTCGCCGGCCCTCAGCCTCATTTTCTCCAACCCAGACAAGCCCAAAGCCCCGGCGCGACTCCTCAGCAGCCGCCTTTTGGTTGTTTAGATTTGTTCGGCGTCGTTTGGTTTGGGCTCCGCCTCTGGAGGAAGGATAGGCGGGCCGGGAGAGAGGGAGAGGGAGGGACGTGGAGCGGGCAGGAGGCGGCCTCGGCATCGTCGGCGCGGCGGCCGAGCGGGCGGGAGGCGCTGGAGCCGCGGCCGCAGGTAGGAGCGGGAGCGGGAGCGCGGCCGGGGGAGAGCGGTCCGTGCCTGCTGGGGCGGCGGGAGGTGCCGGGGTCTCCCTCCGGGTTCAGGGCTTGCCGAGCCGTGATGGCAGCAGAGCTGTGACTGCGCGGCGTGCCGGGGACATCGCCGGCGTTTGCCATCGCCGCTGCCCCCTGCCCCTGCCCGGCGTGGGGGTGCAGCCTCTGCTGCAGAGCCGGAGCACGGAGCCCGCTGCTGCCCACTCCGCTCCCTCTCTTCCTCCTTTTACAGCAAACTGTGAAGGAGCACACATCAATAATCTTCCTCTTATGCATGTGGAAGGCTTTTTTTAAAAACAGGCAAACAAACGATTCTCCCGTCCCCTGAGTTAGGCACTTTTTTAAAGCGCATTTCCATTGTTGCTGAGCTCTGCTTTTCGGTGAGCTTCTATAAGCGTGCCAAGTCGGGACGGAAAATAGTTCAGAATATTAACTGTAGAGTCTGCAAAACAGATGGAGAAGCACGGATAAAGTAGTGGTGACTGTAATTCTCTGTCTGTTGCTTCCAGGTACTTAACAACACCGAAAAATGAAAGCTTTCCCATCATGTCTCTCCATGCAGTAGCGCTCGCCAGCTTCAGCAGAACAGAAGTCTTCAAACATCCCTGCTCTGACAAGGTGAGGCAAAGGGAGACCTCTGAATGGTGGCTCAGTGTGCTCTTAGCTCAGGAGGGTTTTGGTTCAAAAACCAGCTTTTAGTTTCAGTGGATGTAGTAAGTTATTTTTAAATGCTGGTAGAGTTAACTTGGGAAACACAGTCCCAATACTCAGGTGGGGGAGGAAAAGACAGACTTCTTTTATAGTAGGAAGATGTCAAATTGTCTTTGTTGGTTTTTTTCTTTTTTATGGTGTGGTTTTTTTTGGTTTTTATTTTTTTTGGTTATGGCAGTGTGTTGTGCTTTCCATGTGCTTCTGTTGTTGTATTTCCTTATCACTGCTCTTTAATCGCTTTTTTTTTTTTTTTTGCGGTTATTGGACAGTTATGTGACTTTTTTTTCCCTGTGATTTAGTTGAAATCGTAGCATCTGGAGAGTAAATGGAAATTGTACCTGAATTCTCACACCGTTCTGATAAGAGCTGAGAGATGGGAGCATTGTTTAAAAACAAAGACAAAAGTCTTAAAGCTCAGCACCCTTAACAGCTATGCTTACTGATAAAAGTACTTGTATTTATCTTGCTGGGCACTTGGGATGCTTGTATCCTAAGAGGTAGAATCTGTTAATTGCTCAGAGTTTGTTAATTGTATTGAAAACAATTTTGACCATATGGTATTTATGTGTATAAAGTCTGCCTACATGCCAGTTTATCTAAAGAAGTACAGAGGGGGGGAAAAATAGAAAACACTAGCAGATACTGAAAAGCGTATTTTTCTAAACACTGGCATAATCAAACGCTAAATATTTTAAATTACACATACTATTTTTGGTTTGAAACATTATTCTTCAGTTAAAAGGGAAATTCTCTGTGGGTTTTAATTTCTTCTGCTTTCCGTGAGTCTGAAAGAAGGGTATCTGGACAAGAGCTGTCCTCTGAGTCACCTCACTGTTGCACGTAGGAAGTGTAGAGGTCAACAACCCGGAGTGGCCGAGGACAGCACACCTTTAACTCCCTTCTCTTTTTATGGGATCACAGAGTTCAGGGGAGGGTGAGAGGAGTCCTGGTCGTGCTTCAGTGTTCAGACATTCTCACTGATCTGTGAGGAAGGCACAGCGCCTTGGTTAAGTGCCTTTTAACGATGTGCATGTGGGAGCAGGGCATCCCTTTCATTTCCCTGTTTTCTGTGTTGTGCTCTGCAGGTCCATCACATACTTGAGGCAGCAGGGAGGTGGGGGACAAATTTTAGGTCTTCACAAGGAATTTATGTGCTTAGGGAGAATACCCGTTGCTTTGTTGTCCTGAGTGTATCAGAGTCTCTTGTTGAAATTAGCCCCTGAGTATCTGCACTAAATTGTTTCCCTGGTTCAGCTTACAGTGGTTTGACAGTATGGTAAATCCAGCTTTGAGGGGTAGAAATACTGAATTGGAAGCATCCTGACTGCAAAAAGTGAAGTGCTGATCTGGTATAAACCTGCTCAGGCAGTTCAAATGCATTCAACATTTTGGTCAGCTTATACTGGCAGGCTCCTATGCCAGGTCGAGTACTATCTATCTGTGTCACCTCTTGCATTATGCTGGGTCAGTCATGTTGCTGACATGAGCCACATGCACTGTGTTCTATCAATTTAGGTGACATGGCCACACTTGCTCCCAGTTGTTAGAGCTGGGAGATAAAGCAGCACATGGGTCAGATATTTGTGGAGCTGGATCCTCATAGATTTAGCTTATAGATTTAGCTTATAATTTGTGTACATCTAAAAACGCCAATACTTCCAGATACAGATTGGTGGTTCCTTGAATTCTTTTCCACTCCATTGCTGTTGTTTTGGTAGATATACAGGCATCCTATTCAGCATTTTGTCTCATTTATGCCTTATGCACATGCTTAATCCTCCTGCTGTGGAGAGTTTCTTTTGGTCACCTGCCTTCTGGAGTGAAATGAGAGATGCAGAGCTGAGATGTGAGTGCTCTCCAGACAGTGCATGCTTCTGGGGAGATTTCCAGGCAGCCAGAAATGTAGGTAGTGGTTAGGTGACTGTCAGCAGGCTTCAGAAAAGTGTTCTTCCTGCTGGGATGACTGTGACACTGAGGGTATCATTAGCAGAGTGCTGTTATCTTATAACCAAATTGTCTGCCTCTCTGTTCTCTTTATAGTTAAGCCACGAAAGCCTAAAGGTGGCGTTCACCGACTCAGCGTGTTCTTCAAATCCCTCTGTGAGGATTAGCTGCCTGGCTCCAACACCTCAAATCTCTGTTCTCTCAGGTAATGCCAGTTTGTCCCAAATTGCCTCCCTCTGGGGGAGTAGTGCTGGTGCTTGTAGTGCTAGCAAAAGCTATTGGTGTTTGCGTGTACTAAACAAGTCTAGTTTGTTTGAAGAGGGTTCCTTGCTTATTGGCTTTGAGGGTGGTACATCATCAAAATACATTATACAATTTGCAAGTATGGGTGGTTTTTGCCTTTTAATGGTAGTTTGGCTGTTTTAGTTAATGCTGACATTTGCATGTGCGGGTGGATCAGGTTGCCCAGAAACTCTGTGGATGCCCCCTCTCTTTAAGTGTTCAAGGTGAGGTTGGATGGGCCTCTGAGCAATTTGGTCTACTGGAAGGTGTCCCCACTTACAGCAGGGGGATTGGAACTAGATGATCTTTGAGGCCTCTTTCAGCTCATAAAATTTTACAATTTTTTTATTATAACACTACATATTTAGCACAGAGAAGATGATGTTTGCAGCCCAAATTTAGGTATTCCTGTGCAATTGAAATGTCAGTAGTTTCCAAAGTGTCTTTCTTTCCCTGAAAAGTTTGAAATGTATTTGTTTAAAAGTCAGCTAGTTTTAATTTTCCCATCCTGTCCTTATATTGCCGTGGCTGGCTACATTGGCAAGTGTTTGTTTGCAAGTGCAGCCAGTAAAATGTGCAGTTTTGTTCTATTTCTGCAAGAGCTGTGTCCTGGTAAGTGGCAAGTGACTGATCCCTATTACTGACATGTTCTGGTTGATTTTGACCTGGCTTTACTAGGTTAGTTTTGCTAGCAACTCTTGCAGTTTCAGTTATATGTGATGTTCTTGGGTTTTTTGAGATTTTTCTTGATGAGCTCTGGTCTTTATATGGACTTGCTGTTCCAAAATACGTAGGTTTTTTCTTTTTTTTGTTTTGGTTTTGATCCCTTCATTGGTAAACTTTCTTATCATGTTGTTTGCGTGCATGCAGGCTTCCAGGTGAGAGACTTACGGAGAAGTTTACTGTTTTCCAATGAGATATGGCCAAGGAGAGCAACCTCTGGGCAAAGTCTGGAGTCTGCAAGACTTCCTCCTTTTTTCAACAGCAGTGTTTAACAATCCTTGTGGTCCTAACTAGGAGTTCTTTGTCCTGGAAATAATTCTTCTTGATTCTATCTATTCTTAGAATTTTACAACTGACTTATCTTCCCCAAAGGAGATTGGTATTAACTTCATTGTGTTGATGTAGTCAATGGTTTCTTCTTGAACATAGACTTTGTGTCTAATCTCTCAGTTACTTGGATTATGGCAGTTCCTCTGAGACTTTTTTTTTAGTTTGTTTTTGGGTTTTTTGTTTGTTTTGTTCAAGGTACAGGACTTCAATTTATTCTTCAAAAGCTACTGGTTGTGGTGCACACTTCTGGGTCCTGCTAATGTTCTATGTCTGCCACTAAGAGAAGTTTTTCTGCTTTCTGGAACTAAGTTTTGCAGTTGATCACATAGGACCTTGGCAATACTTTTAATTCTTTCAGAGGCATTATAATGATCTTGGTGTGACAGGGCTAAGTTTGTTATGGTTTTGGCCAAGTGTTGCCACCCCATGAATAATGGGACTGAAGTTTACTTTAGCCATTTCCAGTCTGCCTGAACTGAAACACACAAGCACGTTGACCTTATATTACTGAGTGTATTTTTTGTTACTCTTTCTGCTCTATTGATCTTCCATGTGACTTACTATAATGTAATCTTCCCTTGTATTGGCAATAGGATCAGTACCAATACTGGTAATAGTTTTGTTATCCTGTTTTGTAGAACAGTGATGTTTTTTTTGAGCACACTGACAATCAGTCACCATTAAAGTCTTGGCTGATTGTGTTTGGATAGCAGCAGAATACTTTACTGTTGGTTTATTACTTAGCCTTTATCAATGACAGAATTGCTTCCTGAGTGCAGAAAGTAAGAGGTTTTTTGCAGGAAGAGGCAGCAGCGAGTGGTGAGTGAATTCAGCTGTCCTGTCTTCTCACCTGTGTAAAAAATACTATGCATTCTATTCATGTTGTGTATTAATCTTTTCTTAGTATTGTTTCCTAACCTCTTGTTTTATTCTAATTTCTGAACAGATGAATCTTCAAGGCCAGCAGTGATCGGACATGCTGGAAGTTTTGGATCATACCCAGGCAGTGCTGAAGCTATCAAAGACATTCTCATGTCTGTTTTAAATGCATCTGGTTTAAAGCCCTCTTTGGTGTTGGAGCAAAGCACAATGCAGGGAGCTGAGCATCCTGACAGTGATGTGGAGCAGTGGGAAGAAAGCAGCACCGGGGACAGCCATGATGACAGCGACAGTGATTCTGCACATCACAGCACTGCCTGTACACAAACAGATATTCGGTTTACCAGGCCCCGGGCATGTTGGAACAACACAGACTGTGATTCCCCCAAACCTTCACTGGATACTTTCCCTTGTCCCCATTATACTGATGGAGATCCTGCTGCTTCCTCCTTGAATGGTTTCACTCTTTCAAGCGTGTCCCCTCTGAAGCGTGACTGCTTTACCCAGGTGACATTAACTGGAGGCACCGTCACATCCGCTGTTGTGCATTCTGGAAAGGAATCTTGTGCCTCCCCTGAAAGAGACTTGGCTTTCACAAGGTTGCTTTCCGATTCAACTGTTGGTAAAGCAGATCTGGTGAAATACCCTCATGCTGTGGAGCCTGTGCCTCTCGGCAGCCGCGACAGCGATTCTCCCAGTGGCCTTTCCCAGTCAGAGCCAGTCAATCCAACAGGTAACTTTACAGCTGCATTTTTGTTGTAAGATCTCTACAAAGAGGTGTAATTGAAGTGGGCCTTATTTATGGGGATTGCAAATAAGACTGATGCTGTCACTCAAAATGGGAGAGAGGGGAGAAAGAGCTTAAAAACCAAGGAGAACCTGAGGGGTGGTTGGTAAAATGAGAGATGCTTACGCTTTTGCAGTAGGCATTTCTCAGGATGCAGAAATACTTTTGTAATATACAACTGTAGATAAAACATAGAAGTTGCTGAGCTGTGAGAAATGTAGAACATCCACTGGATGAGCTTTCTACCAGCTTTATCTTGTCTTCACTGTTACCCTTTTCCCAACAGCAGATAGCATGGATTGGGTAGTGATTCACTGGTCTGTGTGGGATTGTGTTGTGTTTGGCAGCAGCTGGAGGAGAGGGAAGTCCTTGGATTCTGGGGTTTTGGAGGTAGGGCATTATCACCCAGTTTATTATGACTAAATTGGTTGTTCTGGAGCAGAACTGTTTTTCCTGTTCTCCTTTGCAAGTGCCCTGAGGTTTTGGAGACACAAACCCCCATCTGATGTAAAACAGGTTCTTTATACCTTTCACCAGTTTCCAGCTATATGGATAATCCTGTGTGTTGTCTATGAAGAGGACTGGCTGAGGGCTGCTAGCAGAGGGTGCCCTTTAAGCAGGGTTCTTTCTGTCCCTGCAGCGTCAGGGGGTTCTGGGCAGTGTAGTCCTGTAGGTAAGGAGCTGTTCAGTGGGAAAGTTCAGCATGTGTCCCTGAGATGGCCAGGGGAGCAGCTGGCCTGGCCTTGGGGCTGTGGGGCCTCCATGAGGTGGGCCAGCCTTCCTGGGCTGCAGGCTGGGGTCCCTGCCCTTTGGCTGAGGCAGCAAAACAGTCCTCTCCTGTTTAACACCTAATATTGACAGGAGCAGCCTTTGGAACAGTGAGATGAACATTTTGGGTTTGTTTATAAAGGATGTTAGTGGCATCTAAGGACTTAAGGCCACAAAGATGTTCAGATGGACAGAGCACCTCTCCTATGAAGACAGAGCTTGGGTTATTCAGCTTGGAGAAGGCTCCAGGGAGACTTTGTAGCAGCCCTCCAGTACTTATAGGGGGTCTTATAAAAAAAAATAGGAAGAGTGACCAGATATTAGGAAGAAATCTTTTACTGTGAGGGTGCTGAGGCACTGGCACAGGTTGCTCAGGGAAGTTGTGGATGCCCCATACCTTTCAGTGTTCAAGGCCAGGTTGGTTGGGGTCCCGACCAACCTGGTCTAGTGAGTGATCTTTGAGAACTTGGTGTAGTGGAAGGTGTCCCTGCCCATGGCAAGGGGTTTGGAACAAGGTGATGTTCAACTTCTGTTCCAATCCAAACCCCTCTATGATTCCATGATAATAGATTATGAGCTTCATAAAAATATTGCAGCTGAGGTCTGATTTTTCTACTGGAATAAAAGCAAAGAGCAGGGAGTGTTCATCCTGCCTTTGTATTATAAAAGAATAATACAATGTCTAGGTTTTGTTGGTTTGTTTTGATTTGGGTTTTTTCTTTTCCCTTTGGTCAGTTGTAGTCCTAACGGTGACACTCCACTGACCTCCACTTCCAGTTTCTGATCCTTTCTAGCTATTCACCCAGAACTCCTCCAAGGTCTAAGTTGGCAGCAAGGTCTCAAACAGGCACATGCCATTGCAGGACTGTGTGCTCTTAGTAACACCTTTGTCATCTGGGACAGGCTGTTGTCATCAGCTAGTATGTGACGATTGTGGCTGTTTCCTTCTGCTGGGTGTTGCGAGTGCTCCGTGCCTTTGAGAAGTGCCCAGCAGGGAGAAGGAAACCGCACCCAGCAGTTGGGGCTGGCTGAGGCCAGTCACACGTGTTTGGAGAGCTGGGTCTGGAAAACACAGCCCAGGCTCTCGGGGTCAGCGGGGACTGCGAGGCACGTGTAGGAGAACAAATACATCGTGCGTGACTCGACCTTCTGGCACGAGGCGGATGTGTCACAAGCTTGTGTTGAGGTAGTAGTGCTGCTGGCTCTCCAAAACAAAGGGAGCAAGGAATGTGGCAGCCAGGTGACTGAAGAGCATCCTTGATTTTACTAAAAGATACTCCTCATAGGAGGCAGGATCCTGACAGACACTTTGCAATGTGATATGTTCGGCCTTAGACTCGGGCCTTTTCTGTACAAAGTGAAAACTTCTGCGTTTCTTCATTCCTTGTTGCTTTTAACCATTAACTTGCTACTGGGTAGCCTGGGTAATGAGGTCTCATTCTCTCCTGCAATGTCTGGTACTATGAGGATGTGAAAAGTGAATAGCAAAATGAAAAAGAAGAAATACAATGCCTAATTTGAGTGCAGGAATTACACAATAGGATTTCCTGACTTGCTGTCTTAGAGATGATGGTTTCTCACAGGAGAATTGCTGAGGGATGCACAAGATACAAGAAAACTATGTAATATCACTTAAATTGGGAAAATTTCTTTTTCAGTGGAATATAATTTTTGTTTAGTGGGATTTTCTGCTGGTCCCCTGAAATTCCTACTAGGCTGTGTTCGTATGTTTGAGGCTACCAGAGAATGGCCATTATTCAACCTTTTGAAAAGGCTCTGTCACTGTTAGCGAAGAGTTTGTGACTGAGTTTAGTGTTTTCTGGGGGCTTTATTGTGGCCAGTGTGTCACTGAGTTCACAAGCTTGTTCTTGCTTTTAACCTCTATGTACATCAAAGTCACTTCCTTCTCTGGCTCTTAGGGCTCTTTCCCCAGCCCCAGCAGCCTCAGGCAACAGTGCTCAGGAGCAGAAGGGCAACCAGATAACTTTCCTGCATCAGACCCAGAGTTGCATCCCATTGCTTGATGTGCTGGGCTCCTTCCCTGTGCTTTTTTTACATTCTTTTTTTACTTAAAGATGCAAGTGGGATGCAAGAGGTAAGCAAAGGAGAAAGCTCCCATTAGATTTCAAAGTTATATTTAAGATGAATTGGGTCTTATGTTTTAAAGAGAAAGGAATAATTTTCCCAATTCCTTATTTCTGCTTATTATTTTTAGTTTAGAGAGTAATATTTGTTATCTTAACTGATGAGAATGTAGTCTATTATCAAGCTATAGAGCTTACCTAGTAAGATGAATCATCAGGTAGGTATGAAAATAACTTAATTAGGCCGTTAAATGTGTTTTGAAAAGTCACATTGTCAGCCTTTCTGTTTTTCCTTCATGGTATACACAATGGAGGTATTAATAATTCTGTACAAAAACTCTCCATCTGTGTCGCTCTGCTCGAGTGCAGTGTTGACTTTACAGCCTGATGTCATCGATGCTCAGGGCAGCATAATGGTTTCTCTAGGTACAGCAACATAAATAATCCAAACTAGGCCTGAGAGTCAGTGTCCCTCAGTTGGAGAAAAGTTTTACATAAATTATGATCATATTTTGTGGGAGCTCTTTAGCCTGTGGCTTTTAAACCAATTTAGGAGGGGCATTTTTTAAAAAATAAAAAGCCATTGATTAAGTGTGCTATTTGCAAAGTGTTTAAATGGTGTCTGTGTGGTGGCCCTTTTCAACCATATACAGTCTGTTTTATCCTGTGAACATCATGAGGGTGAAACAGAAACTCTGTGAGTTCAAGGTCCAGGAAGAGGTAGTAAGCCCCAGTAAAAACCTGATGTGTTCTCTGCTGTACAGTGAAAAGTTCTTATTGGGGAAAAAGAGATAAAATTTATTTCACATACTCATCAGAGACTACCAGCAGAAAAAAAACTGCAATTCTGGGGAGAAACACTGTGGCTAATGCCACAATTGGACATAGTACCATTCAGTATGGGTTGTGTTTGGAAGCAGGAGGGACATTTCCTCGGGGTGTGGAAACATAATGGCAAAATGTTTTCCAAACTTAGTGTTTGCAAACACAATGCCAGCAGTGATATGGGGAATTTTTTAAGGTGCATCTCTCTGCATGCCCAGACAGCAGTGGGATTTGTGTTTCTTCCAGCAACTGTGAAGGAGCAGAGTGCAGTGTTAGCTGGCTGTGTCACCTACTGCAGAGCATTGCTGCAAATCCAGCCTCAGGTTCTGTTTGTGGTTGTCCCCAGCAGCTCAGGCTGTAGCTTGGAGAGAACTGGTGTGGGAGTGCAGTGCTGCTGTCACAGCACAGCATTTAAACTGTGTTTCTCTGGTAGTTGATGTTCATGCTTCAGGTTGCCGGAATAGGTCAAATGCCAGCGTGTTTCTCACATTTTTTCTCTGCCTTAGCTTCTACCACAGCTTCTACCCAGCCCCAGTGGTGTTCAGTTTTGGGGAAAAACCCTTGCTTTGCTTTCTGGAAGTCCCAGCATGCCTCTTGGGAGCTGCAGAGAAAGAAGTAACTAATAAAAGTTCTTGTCATACCCTCAGGTTCTACTTCTCCTTTGAATGTAGGTGCTATACCCTTGAATCGTTCACTGCAGGACGTCTGCATGCTTCCAGAGGATGTGGAAAAGGTGAGGACATCAAATACTATCATCATCACGGTTTTTACATTTTATTATTTGGCAAAACCAAATGACGAGGTGTTTCTCAATAAAAGAACTTCCTGATAGATGTACTAATCTTTAAAATACTCTATTTTCCCTCTTCTTGCCCTCTGTGGGTGAATCTACAAACAAAAAATGCCTATTTCATAATTTGCCTTCTACTCTTGACCCATTAATTAAATATTTTAATTATTTTTAAGTAATGGAAATATATACAGGAACAATGTATGTTTCTGCTTTTCATTCCATCATTTCCCCACACATTCCTTGAAAGCAAACTTTAACATTAGTAACTTTAAAGTTATATTAGAATATGTTACTTAGAAGTTCTTGCAGCTGCATGCATGCATATGTATGAGATTTACCTCATGCTTTTAGTATCAAAAGATGGGGAGAGGATGGGGCTTTTTGGTGTGTGCTGATGATAAGCATGTGAGATTTTTTTGTCAAAGAATTACAGTATGGATACCAATAACTCTTAAGAGCTGCAGTAATTCAAGCAGTTTCTCATAAGGGCCTCAAACAGTCTTAGGTGTGTTGCCAGATAGGCAGTCTACTCAAGCCTGTAAATAGAGCTAAAGATGAGGAGTTAAAGCTGTCACACATAACTCTGTGTGCTAAATGTTAATCTTTTCCAACAGTGGAAAAAGAGGGGTTAATGGATTGTAATGAGTAGGATTTAATATAAAAGAGCTTTAAAAATGTGCCTAGAAAAGGGGATTTTTTTGCTGGACTGTGTGCATGTGGTCCCATGTCCTAGGCCCCAGAGGTAATCACCATCTTTGTGCACAGCACTGGTTTTACCAGAGGAGCAAGTTCTGCCTTTGGTTTGAAGCTCTCAACATCCATAAGGTGCATTTCAAACAACAAAACCCACTCAATAAATCACACACCAAAACTCAATGAACTTGAACTAGCTTTTTGTGTTGCTTTTTATGAAAGGTGTTTCAGAAAGGAGACAATGTTTCTCCATCTTTATTGTGGGACCTAAAACAAAAGTAATTTGTTTTCAGACACCAGGAGACCAGTGAGCTGGTATCTGGATTAGAAACCACAATCTGAGTATTGAGTGAATAAAGATCTTACCAGCTACTACTACTGTGCAGAGATTGGGGGCTGATGTGATTACAAGTTAAAAGATAGCAAAAGCTCAATTATGAGCAAGGCTGCCTTTAAAATAAACCCAAAGAACAAAAAAATCTTACCAAACAAAAACCCACTAAATTTCAAATACTTTTAGCTTGTGAAATAATCCCTTTCAACTTTAGGACTGAAAGTTAAGGTACATGTGGTGTCAGTAGGTCCTGCAGTTGTAGTTGTGTGCCAGGAAGGAAATGGGTCAGATAATTTTAAAGGGACTTTCCACTGATGTTAGTGGGAGAGGACAGAAATGAGAAGGTTGATGTGTCACAGCTGAGTTGGGTCTGCTTTGCAGGGTGAGGGAGCTATCAGTAGGCAGAGCTAAAAGCTGATAGTCATGCTGAGTACAGGAGTCTGTGTGTTCTGTTTCATGTTTTTGCAATGCAGCTCTCTCAGATACACTCATAATTGCTTTTATCAGCAGGGCATGCTGATAGGCTGTGTTCTGCCACTAACTTGAGACTTCTTCTATCTTCAAAGTAGGAGATAACTCCCAAAGGAAAAAAGGCTTTTAAATTATTTCTTTGCTAATGGAAGGGATAGCAAACTCCTGGGCTCCTGAAGTTCACTGAAAGTTGTCTCTGGGGAAACTGTGCACCAAGCAAGTCATATTAAGTAGTGGTAGGAAAAAGATAAGTCTCTCCAAACACCCAGAGGGACTTGGGTGCACTCTAATGCTGAGATATCTTGTCTACATGTATTTGTCTGTGAGCAGTAAGAAAGCTGTGCTGTCTGTTGTGCTCCTTAAGATTTAGTTATTCCTAAACGCTGATGTGTTTCTTCATGGTTCCCATACAAGTTGAGGGGATATAATGAATACTGATGTTAAGTGGTACAATTTTCTGAGCATAAGCCACTTTTTTAAAGCTTTAATTATCCTGCACTCAAGAGTCTCTAGCCTTGGATACTGCCATAGCTTTTTTAGATGTAAGTTTATGTTTGCACATGGCTGTTGAGAGTATCCTGGGTATCTCTGGGTTACCACCCTGGTGCCTGAGTACAACTAACTCTCCATGATGTATCCACTTTTGAGCTGAGACTGGTGTGGGACTTGTGCCCAGACCATCAGCAGTAGCTCAGGTGGGGCTGGTGGGATGCTCTGTTAGACCTCAGAAAGCAAGGGATACAGGAATTAGGATTTAGGAAAGGAGCCCCAGGTGTGTGTGTATGTCTCAGTGGTCCCTTTTCCTGGAGAATGGGTGACCAGGGCAGGCAAGATGGCAAGAGACATCACAAGGAAGTGTTGTCTGATTTGGAAATGCTACAGTGAAGCTTTGGAACAGCTGCCTTTTATTTAAGGCAGTGGGAAGCCCAGGGGAGCCAGGTTCTCACTCTTATCAGAGAATTTCTATGTAGGGTTGAGTTGGCCATGTAAGCAATCTCACTGCATATTCCCCACCTCACTGCCCTAACTCTTAACACATGAAAACATTTTACTAGTTCCTGTACTTCCCACCACCTGAAGATCTACACTCCATTCAAAACTTGCCACTTCTGGCCCCCTCCAGCTAGCCTGTGTGCAAAGCTGCTCATACACATTGACTTGAAATTAAATCATATTAAATAGGTTACTTGGATGCACGCTTGCATGCTAAATAATGCAGTGTAACTAGAAGACTGCATCTCTGAAATGCATACATATACACCACTTAGTCATGCAATCAAGTTTATTTTTATCTAATACATGGGTAAGATAAAGTAGATTGGATATTATAATCAAAGGTGAGACAATTATCTAGGCACTTGCCTTTTGCATATTGTTCCTGAATTGCCCTTGGGGTGGTGTTTTTGACTTTAAATAAAAGGTCAGACAGGTTTACATTTTTATTTATAGAGTTGAAAAAGTATGGGAGGAAAATGATACATTTTACTTCATCTTAACTAAATATCAGCTATGCTGTGTACTAATGAGCATTCCAATCTTGTGTCCAGGAAAACGCACACTTTTTTGTCGCAGACATGATTATAGCATCACTAGAAAAAATGAAATGTAATATCCTCAGCCAACAACAAGCAGAGTCCTGGGGTGTGGAGGAAACCAGTGGATCAGATGGCAGCTATCACACTGACTCAGAATTATCTTCTTACCCTGGAGTGAAGAAGTCTGATTCTTCTGTTACCTCTTCAGACAGTGGTTATGAAGGCAAGTTACTTAATTTGGAATGTAACCTTGTTTGAAAGCCTTTGCTGTTTGTTTCTGTGCAAGAAAATATTAAACAAATTGGGGCATTGCTTGGAACCAAATCCTCTGTTACCTTCTTTGAGTCTCTGGAGAGCTGGGTCCATTGAGGATCATCATGCCACAAGTGTTTTCCTGTGGGTCACATACTTCCTTTTGCCACCACATAGGTGGTTCACACCTATGTTTTATTAATTATAATCATTTTTTACATTAAAATTAAAATGTAGGGTTAAATGCCACAAAGCCCAGCATGACTGTCCATAGAGCATGCCTGTAGCTGGCTGTTTTTCTCTCTGCTTAAATTTTTTTTTTGGTAGTATTTGCAATTCGTGTCTTTCCTTCTGTGTTTGCTTCTGCAATATGTGGATGAGGAATGCAACCAATGTGCAATTGGTTTGAGTGAGACTCCCCAGAGTATTCATTCACATACAGTTTAAGGCAAGATAATAAATACTCCTGGTATTATTATGCAGGAGTATAGCACATGCATTTTTAAGTAGATTTTAGTCTCTTGAGTAGTACAGATCTTAGTGATGAATCATGAGTCTGAAGTGGCATAAAGTCTAAATGTCATAAGTCTAAATTACATAAATTCTGTGGAAGAATGAATGGTGTTGTTGGACATGAAAAGGGGAGAGACCACTGGCTGTATAAATGGTTTGGGTTTATCTCTGCAAGATTCTGGCTGAGAAACTGAGGGACATACTGTATGACAGACTCTGAAGAACTGGCCTGCTCTGTGTATGTATAAAAACAATTAAAGTTGCTCAATAAATGCAGTCTGTGTGCTAAAGTTTTGGCAAGTGATGAAAAATGTAAACATAATTGCAGCTACTTATAAATGCTGGAAAAGTTTAACTGATATTATCCTTGTCTTGGGCAGGCTGTGCTTTGCTGCCTCTCAGCTCCCCAGTGCATCTACCATCACATCATGAGGTTACCAGATTTCATTGCCACAGTGACTCAGAGGATGAATATGTAATTATTGGTAAGACTTTAAAATTGTAACTGCAGAAACAGATATATTGTTCAGTTGAATCTATTCCATTGTTCGGGAATTCTCTTGATTTTGTAGATGTTATTGTAGGAGAAATAACATGAGAAAATGGAAACAATTATGTATGTGTAGGTCCTTATTAGAACACATGCAGAATTATCAGACTGCTGCAGGATTTCATTTCTAGGAAAGAATATCTTTGCTGGTTTGAGAGTATGGTGAGCTAACCCTGGCTGGACACCAAGTGATCAGCAAATCACTCTGTCACTTCCTTTCACCACTGGAAAGGGAGAGAAGAAATCAGAACAAAAGACTTTGGGGTTGGATTAGGGCAGGGAGACATCACTCTCCAAAAACTGTCACAGACAAAACTCAATGTAGGGAAATTAATTTATTGCCAATCAAATCAGAGTAGGATAGTGAGAAATTAAAATTTTAAGCACCTTCCACCCCACCTCTCCCGTCTTCCTGGGCTGAACTTCTCTTACGATTTCTCTACCTCTTGGGGCTTCCCATACATCCTGTCAGGAGCCTGCTGCAGCATGGGCTTCTTTGCTCTAGGTCACAGCCTCCTTCAGCATCTTCCAGCCCCAGCCTGGGCTCTTCCACAGGCTGCAGGGGGATCTCTGCTCCCCCATTAATTCCCATGGGCTGCAGGGGCACAGCCTCCTCACCATGGCCTGCATGAGGAGCTGCAGGGGAATCCCTGGAGCTCCAGAGCTCTGGCTCCTGGAGCACCTCCTGCCCCTCCTTCTCCACTGACCTTGGTGTCTGCAAGGCTGTTCCTCACACATATTCTCACACCTCTCTCCAGCTGCATCTGTGCAGGGTTTTTTCCCTCCCATTTTGGCTCTGTTATCCCACAGGCACTACCACTATGGCTGTGGGCTCAGCCTTGGCCCATGGTGTGTCCATTCTGGAGCTGTCTGGCATTGGCTCTCAGATTTGGGAGAAGCTTCTGGCAGCTTCTTACAGAAGTCACTGCCATAGCCCCTCCTGCTACCAAAATCTTGCCATGCAAACCCAACAGAGGGACGAAAATTATGTCTAAGAATGAAACCAAAGGAACATGCATTTAAGAAAGTGTGAAACTGGCACAACCTCAGTCAGCTATAGCAGCACTGTTTGAGAGAATTTAGGACATGATAATTTCCTAATGAAACTGATTGACTCAGTTTTAGGCAGCCTCTCCCTCTGCTTCAGGACTAGAGCACAATATCTCTGTTCTCTTACATGGGCTTTGCTTCTCTTTAGGACATCCTGAGTTTCATTTGGTTTGTTTCTGATTTTTACACATACAGAAATAGAAACCCTGAAAAGTGGCCTGTGCAACTTTTAACCTTTGTTTTATCTTCTTCTGATAACAAATGGATTTTTATTGTTCCCTTTGGTCTTAGAGACTTATTTTTTCCTCTCATCTTTCCTTGATCTACTAATGAAGAACAAGCTCCCAAAAGAACTACATTCCCAGCAGCAAGAGTTACTTTGGGATGTGTAAATGAGGAAACATTTGTCTTGAGAGCAATAAGCACGGTCAAAACTAACACTACCAATGTGAACACCTTGTTGGCATAAGCATATTGTGTCTATGTAGACAAAATGAAGTGGTGTCCTTCAGTTGCATTAATCTCACCTTTTACTAACATGTTTATAGCATTAACTTGTATGTTTATGATTGGGGTCTCCAAACATCCGTTAGTGTCCAAAAAATCTAATGTGGCCTCTTTTGGCTCTGTGCTGTTGAGTGACTTCGGTCTGGACCTTGACTAGCAGGCATTTATTCTCTCCTTACCATTTCAGCTCTTGAAGGCAGGCTAATGGTGATGATAGGATGCAAAGGTATTAGGGAATATTCTTCATCATGTCAGAGATATGCAGAGGAGATAAGACTCCTTATGCCAGGGCTGAGGTTATTTCCCACATCCAGGAAGGGTGTTGGAAAGATGAATATATTTGAAACTGACACTGTGGTAACACAGAAAGTATTTTTAAAATAGTGCTGAGTAAGAGATGCTTTGTTTCTTAAATGGTTTGATAAAATTTTCTCCTTTACTGCAGAACTTGAAGACCTTGAAAATCTGTCTGTAGTCCCAGATAAAAGGTGTGTATCTTTGCTACAGTTGCCCCATGGCTCTACCTTTTCTGCTGGAGCAGCTTTCCGGTGGTTCTTCTGGCTGGGGCAGGGAAAGTTGTGGGAGTGGTAAATTGGGCCTTCTCAAGGAAGGGGAAGGAATGCTGCTTGACAGCAAATGTCTCTGGTGCTTGGCTTAGCAGTGTTTCTCTGGTCCCCTAGTCTTGCTGGAGGTGGTGTCTGTGGCTCTTCAAGGGCCTGAGTGTATCAAAGAAACAGGGTAGGAATGAAGGAATGGAGAAAACTTTTCCTGGGTGCAGAAAAGACAGTGTAGATGCTGATGATGTGCTGCTATTTTTCACTGACAGTATTCCTTACCTTTCAGATCATCTTTTGAACCAGGCTGCAATTCTGCTGAAGCAACAGCCCAGGAGTTATGCAGAGCTTTCAGAAAATACTGGTTGCAGACAGACTCTGCAGTTCAGCTGTCTGGTTGCCTGAGCTCATCTAAGCAGAGAGTGAGTCTGATCTGAAAACAACGAGCTCTTTATTCAGTTCCCCAAATAATCATGGTCTCACTGCAGCTGCTTCACTGCTAGGAAAAGGAGGAAGCTACATAAAAAAAAAAAAAAGAAAACAAATACACATGAGTGCTTACAGTTTATTAGTTCACTTTATCTAAATTTTTAGAAAATGTCTTCTCTCTCCAGCAAAATTCAGCCCACTTAAAACATGTAGTTGTGAACAATCAGGATGTGCTTTCTTCTGGGACTGATATGAGGGAGTTTGAAGGGGGACTACATGCAGGTGAAAACTGAACTTTAAAATACTGGAGTGTAAAGGGAGATAAAAATCTGCTATAGCATTTAACATATGTCCAGTTGATGGGCTGGTTATCTTCATGAGCTTGTCTTTCCCAATAGTCTGTGCTGAAAGAAGAGATTCCAAGAGAACTTGAGTCCAGTTTGAATCTGGCTGAAGAAATAAAGATCATATCCAAGTTGAGAGGATCTTCTGGCTGGTCCCCACCAAGATCACAGATTATATTTAATATTCATCCTTCAGTCAAGTAAGCGTTGAGGAATCTGGGCATTGTTGTTTAGTATAGCATGGGGAAAGCTGATGGAAGGAGCTTGGGTGATTAACAGATCTCGTGCATGTGCAGATGAGCTGTGAGCAGGTCTAGAGCTGGTGCATGGCACAGCCTTCTGCAGTGTCTGTCACCAGCCTCACTAGAAAACAGATGGCCTCTTTTTCTGTCTCTTGGCACATCCTGATTAACACAGCATGTACAGTTTTCCATGTGATAATGCATGTACTCTTTGGTGTTACAGCGGCAATGTACTTAGCTCCTGAAAATTTCATTTTGTGACACTACCTGGAGAATATTTTTACCTTTCCCTGCTGTCCTGCTAGTATTTTATGGATAGCTGGTTTTCAGAAAGTGAGAGGAGGCAGCAGGTCATGTGTGAGGAAATGGCTGTCTCACGCTGTATCAAATGCTGTGAAGTGCACACAGTAAGCAAACTGGCTGTTCCCTGTGTTGCTGCAGGTACAGTAGCTTTTTCAGTTGCAAATGTGGATTTCCCCTCTCCAAACCCTATGATACTGATGCCACCTTAAGAAATTGAAATAACAATTTAAAAACAATTTTTAAATTTTAAATTAATTAATAATATTTTAAATTTTAAATTAATAAAATTCTAAAATTTTAATTTTTTTAAAATAATAATTTAAAAAATAATTTACTTCTTTCAACAAGCGTTACAGAATATCCCTTCTTCATGTGAAGGGGTAGAAGTCAGCTCCTGAGGTGGACGTTCTCCCTGGTGCCAATGTTAGCTCTTTTGCACTTTGGAAGAATGTTAATTAAAACTGTCTTTTGGGTGCTGAATGGTCTAACTATTTGCCTCTGGATACAGGAGAGATGCAGTGGTGGCTGCTCAAAACTTTACATGTGTTGGCTGTGGAACCCCAATAGAAAGCAGTAAGTATTACCAAAACTGGCAAGAAGCCCCTAATAAGTGCAGTACTTGTACTGCAATCAGTACTGTAATCACACTTTAATCCTCACCAGCACAGATGTACCACAATTTTTAAATTACCTGAGCTAGAAGAAAAATCTCATTGTTGGATGTGCCTGCAATAGTAAAGCAGACAGTGGGATCTTTCCGGTGTCTGGAATTTTTCATACAATACAGAATACAATACTTGATAGATGTCCTTCTCATAAACCACAAAAATTCATAAGTCATAAAATAGAAAAAAAAATATACAAAAAAAATCAAGCTTCCTGGCTGGAAAGTGCTGGTTTTGCATAGTCCAGTTGTTTCTTTTAATAATTCTTTCCCTGTGCCAATTTAGACGTTGCCAAAAGTCTCTTTCTTGGGGCTGTAGGCAAGCTTATGGAATCTGTGGTTTTGTTCTTTTGGGGTGTCTTTTTAAAACTTTTTGTTTCTTTAGATCTCGATGACAAAAACTTTCTTGTTTTTTTTTATTTAATTCCTGATTCTTTGTGAGAACTGCTTGAAAGCACAATGATTTACAGAACTGACAAACAGACCTTACCTAAGAAATCTTTGAAGTGGCTCTTAAGTCTTGCTCTGGGTCAGCTCACAAGAGCAGCATTTGTGGTGTTCTGTAAAGTATCAACAATCTATGATAGCATATTAAGCTGAGCAAATAGGAGATGCTGTAATAGCTGGGAAAAAACCCACAAATCTCTTGATGTGAAGAGGTATTGTACCAACATGACTCCAAAATTGGTGGAAGTATTTTTGTTGTGTATTTTACGTAGTGTTTCTTTTGTGGTTAAAGCAACAGGGTTTTTTAAAGATGTTATGTTGATAATTATAATCAGTTGAACAAATATGGAATTGAGGGAAACTTTCTGTTCTAATGCCAAGTACAAGCCTTGTACATGTGTTTGCCACAATAATAAAACCCTCTACTGAAAAGAATAAAAAAAAAAATCCCTTTCTCTGCATTCCAGTAGATCTGAGTTATTTAGACAGACTGGGCATACAGACAAGAGTTATGTCCCATAAGTTTTTAAAATACTCAGAATTTTATTGCTGTCTTCCTGCAGAATATATCAGGAGACTCCGCTATTGTGACTACCTGGGGAAGTACTTCTGTGACTGCTGCCACAGCTATGCCCAGTCTTCTATTCCTGCACGAATACTTTCTAAGTGGGATTTCAAAAAATACTATGTCTGCAACTTCTCCAAACACCTACTGGACAGCATATGGCAGCAACCCATTTTCAATGTGTCATCTATTAACAAAACCCTCTACACGAAAAGTAAAGAAATGGACAGGGTCAGGGTAAGTGTGGATTTTTTTTTTTTAATTAGGAATTTCTGGGTGTGAGACTTTCAGGAAGAAGTCCTTAGGGCAGGATGTCCTCTGTGTGCATGTAGTAAGGAGAAGGGTTGTTTTTTTCTGACTTATCCCATCACCACTTCTGGGACTTGCCTGCTTTTCCTCAGGTGAAGGGAGCAAAGAGAGGTGTTTCCAACCTATGCCAGAGGTCTCCTTAGCCCTGTTTCCTTTGGGAGGTGTTTCCTTAGTGGTTTCCAGTTTTAGTGAATATAAGGGAGTTGGTCTCCAGCAGTAAATATTTACATCTTTCTGGCTTTTGGCTGTTGAAAAGTTCTGTAATTTTGGAATGACTCCTTAATTTTGTGGGCCATTCGGGGAAACATCTTTTGCTTATGTATGAGTTGTACCTCCTACAGCTTCAGGAAGAGTGTTTTGCTGAAGATTGCAAGTAGACGTGTTCCCTTCTTGGCTGAGGAGTTTTCCTGGCTTATCTGTTCTTACACAGGTGTGGGTCTAGCATGCATCAAGACCTGCAGCCATATTTGGCATTAGGACTTGCTTCACTTGTCAGGAAATAAAAATAGTCTTTGCCTGTTTTGGCTTTCGTGCATTAGAAAATCCATTTGGTTAATACAATGCTAAGTGTAAAGTCCCTTTTTTTAGGAGTGGCTTGGTACTTGCAAGGGTTGCAGACTCAAAAGTGGTGTTCCTCACTTAGGAATATATAAAAGCAATGCTTTTGATTTAAAAACAGCTTTGTTTTTCTCCTCAATCTTTTAGGAGGCGCAAGAACAGCTTTTTCATTTAAAAAAGCTTTTGAAAACGTGCAGGTTTGCTGAAAGGTATGGACTGTGATTATGCATGAAAAATAGCTTAATAAAAGGTACATTATGTGCTTATAGAGCCTTCTTCTCTAGAGACATTTGGGTGCAGTTTTAAATAAGTTGATATGATCATTAGAGAACTCCAATAAAAAAACTGCCTTCTATTGCACTGCAAATGTTGAGTGAAGTACAAGTTTTATGTGGTAGCTGTTTGTTGTAATATAGTTTGGTTTTAAATGTTGAGTCATTTTAGTTAGGTGAGTATTTTTTCCTGTTCTGTTTCTCCTAGGTTCTCACTCCTTAAAATGTCAAAGATACTTACCTCTCTGAGAATATTTGTCTTTAAAAAAATATGTTGGCTTTTTTAAATTGAAAAGTGTGTTCCTTGAGCATTTAAAGATTTCTTCCAGAAATCTGTCATAATGCTCAATTCAGTTTATTTTATAAAAATATTCAAATGAAAGCAGTAGTAAGCAGTAGTGATAAAGACCAAAGCTCTATTTCCAGAGTTCACCTGCTCAGCACAAGCATAGTGTCACCCAGTAGTGACCTGTGCAGGATAAAACCCCTCAAAGTCCTCTTTGCAAAGCAAATAAATAAGCCTGGCTTATTTTATTAGATACTATTTGGGATTTTGCCTACTTTTCCTGAGGCAGGAGAGAGCCCTTTACACATTATTTATGGATTGCTGGGATAACTGTGTATGGCAACTCCAAAGCTGAGGAGTGCATGTTTAAAGCAGAGAGTTTATTCTAAATCCCAAACCTTCCAATTTTTATTAAAGTGATTTCAAACTGGGAGGGGAGGTAGATAGCAGGAACTTGCCTTGTATAATCCCCATGTGACTAGAGAAGTGAAAGATGCTTATTCTGGAAAGACACTTTAGAAACAACTTTTTGTAACTTTATTTGGGTTTTATTTCTCTTTGCAGTATACTGAAAGAATTTGAACAGGTTCCCAGCCATCTGACAGAGGAGCTGCATCTCTTCTCACTGGATGATCTGGTGAAGATCAAACGAGGGCAGTTACTGCCCCTTCTTAAAGATATTCTGAAGAGTTCCACCTCTCATGTAGATGGCTGTGAGGTAAGGAAAAAACAGGGCTTTTAGTGTCCTTGCAGCTGCTACTGTAAGGAAATATCCCTGCTGCCATTCCCAAATAATTTTTTCTTTGTTTTTAATTCAACCCTTTTGCTGTTGTTGTAGCTCTGTCAAGCGAAGGGGTTTATCTGTGAATTCTGTCAGAGTGCAGACCTGCTCTTTCCATATCAGACTGCCAAATGTAAAAGGTGCCCAGGTATGTTCCAGACTGAATGTTTTTCTTTCTTGGGGGAATTTTGGTGAATAAAACCATTTAGACTTACTTGAAACATTGAGAACTAGCTTGCATACATTGAGAACAAGATTGAGAACTAGAACTGAAAGCATGCATATTTGAAAATCTGCATGTGCATTTGTAAATCACAGGCAGCATGTATCCTCAAAAAACAGCCTGTGGCAGCTGTTTCATAGCAGTGGATTTAGAGAGCAAAACCAGGCATTTGCCTGACCATGGGGGAGGCTGTTTTTTGGGTCCAGGCATGAGAGAGCTGTTTTATCAGATCTTGCCAGCATTCAGTGTAAATTATTACAGTGGCGGTGGTTGTCCCAGCCTTGCACTGCTTGTGTTTGCTTTTGTGTTGATATGTACATGATAGAACACGAGTCAAGGAACACAGCTGTTGATTCTTTTTTTTTTAAATTTTATTTTTTTTCCTCTAAATGCTACTCTGTATGTATAAACAGAGTGTAAAACATGCTTTCACAAAGCATGCTTCAAGTCTGGAGGCTGCCCCAAATGTCTGCGGATCTCAGCTCGGAGGACTCTTTCAGAAACTCCCTGACTGGTGCCTCAGTGAAACTGGGTTCCTCTGACTGTTGGCTTTAGAAGATGCTCAGAGCCAAATCTTCAGGTGCATGATTAGATGTTAAATAATGTTGTTTTAGACATTACTGTTTTTAGTGCGTGTCTCCTTTATGGGGGGTAAAATAAAAAAAAAAAACAGAAAACCAAAAAATAAACGTCAACTTCATTATTGTCATTGAAAACTCACCCTGAGGGAGTTTCATCTTAATGGTGACAAACTGGATGTTAATTTTTTGGGCTGCCTTTTGTTGCTATGTTTTGTCCTTGGATGTAAGATTTTTAATACTGTATTTTTTCATGTAAAAATGATTCATCTCTGTAATTCTGCAGATAATGTATAGATAGTAAGTGAGCGTTGGAAGCCTTTGCCTATGTTCAATTTTGGAAATGGGGAAAAAGTGGTGAAGTACAAAATCGTTCTCTGAAAAGCTCTACAATAAATAGAAAAGATTTGTCTGCAAGTTTTAGGCAAATGCTAATCTGAAATTGTTATGGCAAATACTTATTGTGAACCAGTGAATTTTAAGTTTCTTTTAAACACATCAGTTCAACAGCTTGTGGTGAGTTAACTTGGACTGCTGCTAGGTGCTCTTCACACTTCACCCAGCTGCTCTCTCACCTCATTCCTCAAGAGGACACAGGAAGAAAAAATGGAAGACCTCACAGGCTGAGATACATACAGGGAGATCACTTGCTAGTTACTGTCATGGGTAAAAAAAAACCTGACTTGGAAAAAATTAAATGCATTGTAAATTAGAAATTGAGTCGGGTGCTGAAAAGCAAAGACTAAACCAATAATTTTCCCTTACCTCACCCACCCATTTTCCAGGCTGAACTTTGCATATTCATTCCTAATTTTTCTACCTTATAGCCTGCCCCAAGTGGTGCCAGGCAGATGGGGAATTGGGGTTGCTGTCAGTCCATAACTGCTCCTTTCTTCTACTCCTGCCTCCTCACACTTTTCCCTTTCTCCAGTGTGGATCCTTCCCATGGGCTGCAATCTTTCAGGATAAACCTGCTCCTGTACAGGCTCTCCAGGAAGATGTAGTTCCTTCAGGAAATATTCATGTGCTCCAGTGAGGTCCTTTCCATGGACTGTTGGGGAATCTGTGCTCTGATGCCTAAGGCACCTCCTCTTTTTTCACTAACCTTGGTGTTTTTGCTGCTGTTTCTCATGCTCTTTCTTACATACAGTTTTAGCAGTATCACCATCGTGGCTGAGGCGCTCAGCCCTGTTCTGTGGTGTGTCCGTTGGAGCTGGCTGGAAGCAGCTGTGTCTGGCATGGGGCAGTCCTGGCCTCTGCACACACAGGCCACCATGCAGTCACCCAGTGCCAACATCTTGCCACCTCCACCAGCTACTCCACTCTGGGAGTTTCTTTCCAGAGCACTTGGAAATGTGAGGAGAGATGGTGAGTGATCAGGAGAGATGCTCCTGTTTAAATCCACCCTCACGCTTGCAGGTGGAGTCCTTGCCTGAAGGTGAAGTGCTGGAAATTGAAAGCAGCTTTCTTTCCCTGCCCGGTTGGTTCCTTCTAATGAAGCCCTTGCCTTCAGAAAGGTAGAACAGCTGCTCAAACCTGTAAAACCATTTTTCTGTTAGTGCTGTGAAGTACCAATGAACAGAGAAATCCCAGGACCTGAAAGTATGAATCAGCATTCTGATCTCTCCAGCGGGATGCTGTTAGTATTTTGAATTTTTTATTCTCATTTTGTGCATTTTTTCTTGCTCTCCTCATCTGTTTGTTCCACCTTTTAGCAAGGAAAGGATCTGCCACCTGAGAGTTCACCTCTACATTAATGTTTACAGTACTACTAAGCTCACTAACACTTCCACTAATCTATTTTTTCTGTGATCAAAACCAGCTTACCTACTTACTGCTCTGAAGCAAGATTAGTGTCTCTTACACAAGCTCACCAGTGCAGGGTAAGAGGTGGTGAGAAAGAGCCTGCTTTTGCAGCTGACTGTATTTAATGTTATGCAAGAGTAAATTCTCACTTAAGTTGGGTGCACAACTAACTGAATCACATGAAAGGCCTTGCTTGCAGGGATTTTGTGCTTATGAAGGAGTAGATGTGAATGTTCCTTCTGTGGGATAACCTGCAGGGCAGCTGAGTCTGTCTTTTTCACTATTCATTAGTTTAGAAGAGCTGATCTGGTTTCTGGCTGTGCTTTTCATGAATGTTGAAGTCTCAGTCCAAAGGAGTGCAGGAGTGCACAGGAGGGGGAGTGTCAGGCAAAAAGTTTTGTGCATCAAGTGTTGATCCTTAACATCCGTTCAGTTCAGTGCAGGTCTCCACAGAGCCAGTACAGCTTATCCTCACTAATTATTGCCACCTACTACAACACAGGTTGCAGCAAGAGCAGATCCTCCATGAGTTGGTAAAGCTGGAAAGCAAAAGGCCTGAGAGTATCAACATGCTTATAGGCCAAGTAAAACTGGCTAAAATGTTCTGCTGCTGAAGCTAAAGTAAGGAGGAGGAAGTTGTGCGATGACCACCAGGTTTGTCCCAAGTTGGAAGGAATAACTATTTTCTGTGTTTGAAGGGATACTGCATTTGTTGGGTCTGGAGGGGGGTAATACCAAATCCACATTCTTGTGTGCTGGTGACAGCACAGGATAGCACAGGAACACCTGAGGCTATTCACCCTGAATGTCTTCTCTGGTGAGAAGCAAGGTACAGGGACTAGACCTGTAAACACAAGGTTTTCTCAGCATTGCTGAGGGAATAGTGTTTTTTATCAGCTGCTATCCTAGGATACCATAAAGCAACCATCATGAAACTGAAAGCATGCATTATTTGCTTGGGTGATGAAGTAGATTGGACAGAAAGGGATGACTTCTGTGTACAAACCCTCTAAATGGCTTTAGGGTGTTGCCAAGTTCTTTGAATCCAGTTTTGAGGCTCATTAAGCTTTCAGCTCAATACCATGCTCTTCTGAGCATATCTCTATGAGTAAGTACTGAGTTTGGTCATTTCTGAGGCTAAACCAGATGATAAGGTATATCCCAAGAAAAGAATTTAAGAAACAAAAGCTGTATAGCTACAGTGAGCTTTTTTGCAGGAAGTAAAATCCTGCAGTCCTGAATTCTTTGATAGGAGTAGACATTAAAGGGTTAGGAAAACTTACTAAGGAGTAAGTTCAAACTTACTAAGGAGTTGGGCCAGTTCAAAATATGGTGCCCTCTAGCTAGAGAGCTGAACATGTTTCAGAGGAGAGTTGCAAGAGACCTGACTGTTCAGCTGTGAAAATTGTCACACTTTTCTGTTTGCATGAGAAATGATGACCAAAGCTCATTCTTTACTGTGAGTTTTTATGTTGCCATGTGGATACAATGGGAGCACTGCTGAGGGCACTGCTGGAGGAGCACTCTCAGGGGCTTTGGTGGCAGAGAAACCTACTCCTAGCTAACTGCCCACCTTACTTCAGAGGGTGGGCAGTTAGCTAGGAGAGAATTCACTTAAAGTCAGTATTATTAGTAATTTCCATAGGCACAAGGTTTCAAAGGAATACAATACCAACATCCCGCTCTTGCAGTTAGCAATTTTGCCCTCTTCTCCGATAGTTATTTTTTTATACTGATTTGTTGTATTTTCCTTAGTTTCAGTTGTGAGTTTTCTGGAGGTGGAAGTGCTTTGCTAAGGCTGTGTGCAGTGCATTGAAGCCAGGATTTTTCATGATGCATCATACAGTTATTACTGTAAACAACAGAATAATACTAATTATCAGGTGTAGTACAGCCTCACAAATACAGGTTTTGTTGCCACTGTCAGCAAGTATGTCAAATACTTAATAGTTTTATGGGTCTGTATAATTCCAGGGATGTCTGTCACACCCATCAATGGCCAGGATCCAATAAAAAGTGCTGAATTCAGTATTACAGAGGAACTGAGTAAGAAAAAATGCAGTCTTCTGAAGGCCTTATTTCAATGGTCCTTTCTAGTGAAAAGTTTTTAATTGCCTGGAGATCTTTTCCTCGGGCTGAGAATTGTCCTGGTCAGAACATCTTGATTCCAATTTCCTGCCAGCATCTGCCTGTGATTAAGAAACGGTGAAGTCAGCTTGAGTGATGGACAGATGCTTGCTCAAGAGAGCCCAGGGAACAGGGCAAAATGCTTGTGAAGCATGTTTCAATGTCAGCTTTTAGCTGGCAACAGAATTTTATTCACGTGCCTGTCTTGTCCCAGCACTGTGTTGCTGATGCTGTAAACAGTGTAGTGTCTGGATGACCATGGAGCTGTTTGGACACTTGCAGGAGTTGAGCTGGACTGATTTTTGACAGCTGCTCTGCTTCCACTGTCCCTATGTCACTTATCTGAAATTATCTAACTGCTTTACTTCCCCAAGAAGCAGCAGCAGTTCCTCTTGGATTCCTTTCTCTGCTATTTTAGTCAAGGCATTTCCAGTTGTCCATAGAGGCATAATGAAAGAGAGATAAATCCCCAATGTTACCAGACCCTCTTCTCCTAGGCCTGCTTTTTTATTCACTTTCAAAACCATTTTTGCTTCTTTACAGCCCAGATGAATATCTTTATGATAAAACAAATAATGTAATAAAATACTTTGGCTATTCCATAAGCTAAGGATGATACTAAGGGAGATGTGTGGAGAGGAAAAAAAAAAGAGAAGCAAATCTATTGAGGTGTTGTCAGCTTGAAGAGATGAAAAAGTGCTGGCAGGTCCTTAGGGAGGCTTGCCTACTGCCTTAGGTGACAACACCAAGAAGCATTTCCTCCAAGAAAAGGATCAGAGTGCCTTGCATAAATCAGCAGTAATGTGGTGCTGTGGTCACTTCAAAGCAAGTCAGTGACTGCCAAAATGCACTGTTGTGCATCAAGGAGCATGATGTGGGAAAGGAGAATTTATGTGCCTCACCTGGGAGCTATTTTACTGTGCTCTCATCTCTGGCCAAGAGTTGCTGTGAATCAAGCTCCCCCTCCTTGAGTTCTCAGAAGGTGAAACTAAAAGCAGGAATGGTTTTACTGGAATAGGATATGATTTTAGGCCTCCTACACATTTCATGGATGAGGCAAAAGAATGTGAGTATTACTCTATGTCATAGCACAGAGGATATATATCCATGCTTCTATAACAGAGGATTTCCTAAAAGCTGATTTGGACTGTAGTAACATCTAGCTGCAATTGCAATCTTCTTTCACAGGAAAATACTTTGGCACAGCAT